GCCCCCAACCCCTTTTCTGCTCTGGGGGAGGAGGCTTGGGCGCCCTCCCCTGCCTGGACCAAGGATGCTCCCGCGCACCCGTTGCCATGGCAACTGCATCCCTCCATTCTCTCTGCTGGAGCATCCTTGGGAAGCCATCCTCTCGCGGAAGGGATGCAGGGTTTTTAAGGGGGGGGAGAGGAGAAGAGAGCGAAACAAAGCAGCTCTTCCTTTGCGGGATTTCACTAGCTGAGGCTTGGGCGCCCTCCCCTGCCTGGACCAAGGATGCTCCCGCGCACCCGTTGCCATGGCAACTGCATCCCTCCATTCTCTCTGCTGGAGCATCCTTGGGAAGCCATCCTCTCGCGGAAGGGATGCAGGGTTTTTAAGGGGGGGGAGAGGAGAAGAGAGCGAAACAAAGCAGCTCTTCCTTTGCGGGATTTCACTAGCTTGGCATTTTTGAAGGGAGTAGCCAACGCTTTCCCTCCCAAAAACCCTCCCCTCACTCCTGAGGCTACCATGAAGGGCTGAACATTACAGGCATTATTTCTCCACCCCACATACACACCTGTGGTCCTTTTAAAATAGCTTTTTAGCAGGGTGGTTGCTTTAAGACGCTGTGTTTCAAATTTAAAAATACTCTGTATGCTTTAAAGACAGAGAAATACATACATACATACAATCTTTCAGTTTACCATAGTCTTTCGAGACTGAAGGATGCCCAAGATTTAATCTTTCAGTATTTAAATTTTAAATACTGTACTGTTTAAGACACACATACACATGGACACACACACCTTTTAAAAATACTCTTTTAATCTTAAACACGGCATACATATATAAACACACACTTATGCATGTATATACTTTATGTATATAATCCCACTGGTTCTTGAGAAACTGCGTTGCTTCCAACTTGGGATAATGTGTGTGTGTAAACATCTATCTATTGCACTAAAGACTGTGAATATTCTCCTCTCTCTTCACTCCCACACAGCACAGAAGTCTTAAATATGCAAATATATATAGGAATTCCGGAAGGGTCTTGCTGGTGGACCCACACCCCAACTCCACCCAAAATGAGAAGGGGGGTAGGCGCTTCCGCCGTCAAACTGACAAAAACCACACGCCGGGTCTGTCCACTGAGCTATTGAGTTCTTTTAATGTTTTCTCTTTTTATAACAATTTCAACACAGTGTTGTGCCTTGGTGTGTTGTGTGAGGGGTACACGCAACAGGGTGTGAGCATTTCGCACAGTTCAAGAGTGTCAACGGCTACAACGAACACAACGTTTTCTTCCCGATCGTTGGGAGGGGGAGGTGAGAAAGAGCAGAGAAAGAGGTTTCAGCCACTCTGTCCCCCGAAGACAAACCCCCCAGGGGAGAGGGGGTTGACTTGCTTTTCGTGCCCTGCTCCACTGGTTCTTGAGAAACTACGTTCCTTCCAACTCGGGAGAAAAAAATATATATATAAAGCACTAGAGGTGGTGAAAAACATTCTTCTCTCCCCCCCAAAAAAGTACTTTTCCTAAACACACAGCACAGAAGTCTTAAACATGGGGGCTGATCCCATTTTGGGAGGCAGGGCAAAACGAGAAGGGCAGGAGGGCTGGGCACAACCAAGCTTAGAAAAGTTACTTTTTAAAAAAATCACAAGGCCCAAAATGATTCTTCAAAAAAAAGCCACTTTTGCCCAAGCTCTGACCTCCCGTCCACTTCCCTTCTGGCCCCTGACCTCGCCAGGGAAATGTAAACACCACACAAGGGGAAAGGGGTGTGTGTGTTTATTCCTATAAATAATAATAATAATAAAAAAACAAACTTTCAATATGTTAACAGTTTTGGTTTCTCTTTTAGCAAAAAAATACAAAATAAGACATGTAAGAAAAAAAAGTATCAGCACACTTTTTTCCTCCTTCCTCCTAAACAAAAACAGAACACAAAGGTTTAGTGTCACATTGCAAGGGGGTGGGCTTTTCCTTCAACTCCGGAGGGGAGGGAGGGGGAAAAAGAGCAACACAGGGGGGCAGGCAGCAGAGAACACGTTCTGGGGAGAGGAAGCCAGATTTTGGGAGTGCATTTGGCCGATTTCTGTAAAGCTACCTTGGGAGGACTAAAAGCGCAGGGACGGAACGACAGACAGACACACACCCGGCTGAGAGTTGCCAATGCAAAAGAGGTAGAAGAAAGGTGGAGAGAGGTTTCGTTCTTCCGGAAGAGGCTGCCTCCATGTGGTTCTGTCGGGGTGTCTTTTAGCTGCCCCCCTCCCCAGAGGAAAGAAACCACCAAACTCTGTGGGGCCTGTTCAAAACAAGCGTGGGGGTGGGATCAGCCATTAAGGCTGTAGCTCCCAATTTGGAGGGGAGAAGATCCACAGATCCCCTTCCAGGGAAATGGGAGCAAAGAGGCCCCCAACCAGGGAGAAAAAGCATTCCGAGATTGGGGGGGGGGGCTGAAGGGCTTCTTAGGGAAGGAAGCACCCTCAGCCTTATTCACAGGAATGCAATCAGACCTTTCATCCCCCCCATCCAGCCAATTCTCAAAAGCTGCATTGGGGCCCAGATTTGGGGATGACACTCCGAGGACCCCCCAAACCCCTGCTTAAGAACAACCAGGAGCTTGGCTGCTGCTGGACATGGTCTTTTGGCCCAACCAAGGTCCAAGGGGAAGGCGGGGAAGACCAGAACGCTCCCCCCCCCAGCAAGAGACAGCAGACTTCAGAAAAACCAAACTGCATGCCGAACTGGGCACCCCCCCAGGTGGGCTGTTTTGAGAGGGGACTGCCCCCCACTGCCACACACCCCCAGCAGAACGTCAACAGCTGGGACTGCAGAGCGCGCCATACAGCAAAAAGGACTCATCACTCAGGGTCCAGGGAAGCAACCCCAGATGCTGAAGGCCTCTTTTCAGGCGGGGGGCACAGTAAACCTACAAGGGGAGCACCATGCAATTTTGCTTGGGTGGGGGGGACAGGGGGGGCTTTTATAGACTCCTCCAGGAGGCCCCCTCCCTTCCTCTGTGCTTACCTGGGAACTAAGAAGCAATGGGGATAAACATGCAAAACGAACCAGACAGAACAGCGAGGGTGCCTTCAGTGGCCGGAGCTTCAACACTAAACAAACTCCCCCCCCCAAAAAAAAAGTCACAGACTTGCCGGGTTTGATATCCTGGCTCCAGGCGAGGCAGGAAGTGCCACATCTCTCTCTCTCTCTCCTGGCATGCAGAGAGGGCACAACAGCTGGAAGGGGGAGCCTTTCCTTTTTACCAACAGCTGGAGAGCAAGCGAAGGAAGGAGGGGGGTGTGAGGTTGTCTCAGGGCCGCCCCTTCTCCCTCCCCCTCCTTCAACCTGTCCCCTCCCACACAAACCAACCCTAGTCCAAAGCGCCTCTCCAGGCTCACAAACACACACACACCCCGCGGGGGGGGGGGG